GAGGAGAGGGAGGAGCGCGGGGGGTGGGGGGCGTCCGGCCAGCTTTTGTTCTGCGGAGTCCCGCAGCCTCGACAGAAATCGGCCCCTCCAACTGCACGAGTGAGCACAACCGGGACCTCAAGAGTTTCAGGTTACAAGAAACTGGACACGACGCCGTGAATCCCTGCATTCCGCCCACCCCCGTAGGATTTACCAAGAAAACCTAAAAAGGGAAAGAAACCCGGCAGCCTCGGCCCGCACGGGCTCCACGCCCCTCGCAAAGTTTCCCCTCCACCTGGGCACCCCATTGTTCCCAGGAGTCTGCGCTCAGCCGCGGGCCCCGGCGCGCCCCGGGGGCGACCGGGAGGTCCCGAGTGCGGTGGAAGCGGCGAGGGACCCCGGGGGCGCGGGGGAAAGGGAGTACCCGGAATTGCCGGGGGCTCGCGAGGGACGCCAGGGGGTACCTGAGAGTGCTCGAGGGCCCGGGAAGGCGAAGGCGCTGGTGGGGAGCGGGGAGGAAGGGCCGGGGGAACTGAGAGGCGGCGGTGGGGAGGGGAGGACCGGGGAAGCTAATCAACGCTTCCCGCTCGAGAGCCCGAACAATGGGGGAGCCCGCCCCCGGCGGAAGCCCGGCTTTGCTTTGGGCTCACCATTACCAGTCTTCAACACCCCCACCCCCATACACACACACACCCCAACTTATCCCAGAGTCCCAGCGCCCGCGAGGGAACGCCCTCCAGTAGGGATCTAGACCTGTCAGTCCTTCCCGAGTAGACACCACCTCCCAGGAGCCATCCTGGGTACCCCCCGAGCCCAGCTACGTCGCCAAACCCCTACGCCCCGCGTTCTCCCTGTGACCCTTGAGGAGGAGTCAGCGGGGAGCCCAACTACCAACCACTACGAAAGTCCCGGGTTTTGACGTTTAATGTTACTCGCACTGGGGAAGCACGAGGGGAGGTGTGCTTCAAAGTCACCAGCCCAGGATCAAAAGGACAGCACCCCAGGGTGAAAACAGGACCGGGGAGCCGCCGTGGACGCGAGGCAGCCCCATGCTCGCTTTATTGTTCTAACTGTCTCCGTGGGACGGGTCTGAAAGAATGCGGAGTTACAAAACCTACGGGCGCTCGCGCGCGTGCGCAGCAGCTCGCCCCCTCCCCCGCGCTGGCTTCCCTGAGTGATTAACTTCTGTTTTGAACCACTTCACATAAATCACAACAACTGTGGCCCACGACGGAACATTCGGGGTACCTCCCAGTCAGGGGCTCAGAAGTTCACTTCAAGAGGGAGCTAACATTCTCTGACCTTTCGTGGCGGCAGATTTTTTTCCCCCCTCCTGTGTATTTTGTTTTTAAACTAGACTGACGGCAAGTTTTAGTTGTAAGGCTTCCAGAACGTTTCGTGGAAACAATGACAGACTCTGCACTTACAACCAAGCCTGCTTGTCATACTTGGACTCATTCTGACTGCACGCCGCTTTCAGCGGCTTGCCCTCGCTCCTAAGTCTTCATCTTGCCCCAAATTCTTCGTGGGAAAACTTTAAGAGGCCCGAAATTTTTATAAGCTTAGCTTTCCGAAGTTTCCGATCCCTGAGGGCGATTTGGGGGCCAGGGTCACAGTGCTTCCATTGTGAAAACACCCCAACCCCAGAGAAGAGTGTGCCCGGGCCCAGCTGGGGGTGGGGTGGGAGCCCCGGAATTCAAGCCCAACTTTCAGACAAAGGCGCTCCCGGGCGGCCGCCNGGCGGGGGTAGCCCTGGTGCAGGGCCCACACGCCCCCGCCCGCGAGAACGAGCGAGAAGCCACGCGGCCACTCGGCAGAGCGTGGGGTGCCGGCTGAGACAATGAAACTTGGAGGCGCACAAACAAGGCGGTGAGCGTGTTTCTTGACAACGTGCCAGCAGTGCGGAGAGGCCCATCTCCCCGCAACAGCCCCTCGTGTTGTGTCTAGAAGGAAAATAGCAACTGCCGTTTCAGACGCAGCCTCAACAAAGAGAACAGCAGCGGTCCCAGCCGGAGAGCCCGGGGGCTGGGGAGTCCACCGAGTCACTCTCGCCCCGAGTCCGGCGCGGCCCCGCGAGCACGTTTCCTCGGGACTCGCGCCCACGGGGCGACAGCCCGCGGAGCCTTACCTTTCTTGCTTTTCATTCTGGAGCTCCCCTTCCAGCGCCAGGCACTGCTGGGGTCTCGGGGGGTCGGGCAGGAGCGGGAACGCAGGGGGGCAAGCAGCTGTCCTCCTCCTCAGAGGACTCTCCAGCAAGTTGTAGGACGAGCTCCAGTAGCTATTGCTAAACAAGGCGCTCGGATCCCAGGCGCCCGCTTCTTGGGTGGAATTCAAGTGACACTTGGGCTTCCTCCTGCCGGGATCTTCTGGCAGCCAGCCGGGGGCTCTCCCTCGCCCAACTCGCTCTCCTCCCCTAGTCGCTCCTTTGTTCCCCGCTCCTGCTCCGCGCACCTCGGCGCTGTCAGAGTGAGAGAGGCGAGGAGGGAAGGTACAGGAGGTCCTG